ACTGCATCGCATAAAAATTAACCAATCAATGGTCGCATACACGGCCAATTATTATGAAATATTGGACTGAATACTGATATCGTAAACTACCCCGCATGAGTGGACATTTTGATGAAATTCTTAATTTATTCACTATACGGCATTCCAGCGCAGTTTTGTGCAGCCGATTTTTTTTATTGCTACGTGACGCCATATTTCATTCGATTTCGTACGTTTTATCTATTACTACTCGCCGGCTGCAGTCTGAATCACATGAAAAAAACTATAAATGGAATTTTCATTACTGTTACAACAAAAGAAATAACAATTTCAACTTTGTTTAGTCTTCTTTAATAGAATACGTTATTTAATAAACAAAATAACTGTATGAAAAATGTCTGTATTAATACAAAAAAATATTGATAAATTAGTCATTTTTTACGGAAATTGAATGAAAAAACTAGCTAAAAGTAAGCCTCTAGATAAGTGATAAGAACACCCCTACGGCTGTTGTACCATCCATGAGTTGCCATTCCCGAGGATTAAGGTATTATGCCTAAATACACTGTAATTTTACAGCCATATCTCATCCTCACAGCTTATAAATAAGCTATTTAGCAGCCGAAATAGGCGAGACAGACGCAGACCACTTTTAACAACGCTATAATTTGTAAATTAACTCTTAATTATAAGAAAATAGAGTGGCTATTTTATTGATAAACTTAGCATTTTATGAATTCAGCGTGCGGATACTGGGTCCATCGTGTGACAGAGAAGGAAATTCAGGGACTTGTAACCCGGGTATAGGGTCCCCTTTTCCAACATATGTCAACACTCACCTTCACCGCTCGTGTTTCTCTCCCTGCTCAGCTAAATCTGGTAAGACTTTGCTAGTACACCGTTAAATACCACGTCCTAGTATAGAAACCATTGCAGCTCTAAATAAGCCAAGATCTTTCAGAAAATTATAAAGAGATTTCGCTGGTATATACCTCTCGCTGCCACTCCGATCGCATATAAATTAACCAGATAACATTTTTCATTAATTATTTTATTAGTTCATAATATTTATTTGTTTTGCATGATCTTTAAGTATATTTGTTTTGCATAGTACAGTATTCTCTAACAGTATTAGTAATTACTAAGTGTTATTTAATAAAACAAAATTATAAGAAAAGGTAGGTATTAATTTACAATAGTACTTATACTTTTAATAATTTTAAAGTTCTTAATTTCTTTCTGTTTCTGATAACTATCTACGATTCTTCTAATAGACTTTTCTTTTAATTAGACCTCCATGCCCTTTAATTTAATCTACATTTTTTATAGTCTTTAGTAATCAGCGTTCACAATAGATCAAGCGCTTTTTGTGGACTTTTGCAATCAGTGACCATTTTGATCAAACCCTGTAATTGAAATAATAACATTCCATAAAAAAAAAATTTACGTTATCAAAACAGAGTTCAAAGGTGTTTAAAAGCGAAATTGTCTGCATAATAATTATGTAAGTATATTTATTTTTACTTTAATATACAGGATGCACAATGGGTACATTAATAAAAACAGTGCACTAATCTTAGAATCGACATAACCGATTTCGATGCGATTATCACTTATGTATTGTAGTAATCTTTACATAATAATGTGTAGTTGTTTTTTCAAGTACTTTACAAACAAAAATTTATAAAATACTGTTATTTATATCACTCCATATAAATAAAATTGAAAAAACAAATTGTTTGCATTTTCAAATCAATCTCTATAACGGCTGGACCTACTTTGACATGACTTTCATTAAGAGGTAGCTAATGATGTAAGGAGTAACTTCGGCTACTTTTATTTATTGTAAATTTAAAAAAAGGAGTACCAAGTATAATAATAAAAAAATATACGTCAATCAATATGAAATACGCTCAGCACTCGCAAAACAATAAATAAACATTCAAAAAGTTGTTTCCGGTGCCACAAATGCTTTAACGAAGCATATGAATTAAATTATATTGAAATTGACTAATAGAGTGCTGTTGTTTCAGATTCAATATGAATGAACAGTTTATAAATTCACTAGCTACGCGTCCCGGCTTCGCACAGGTGGATTACAATATTTTTAATTTCTCGCCTTGTAATACATGTACTTGAATCATTCAATCTATTGCTGAAACTGAATTAAAGTCGTCATGTAATTCGAAAGATATAAACGAACAGACAGCGAGGGCAACAATAAAATAAAGTTATTTTATATTAAGATATATAATTTAAATTTCTGTGACATTTTAATGAACAGAATTCAAGAATATTATAATTATAACATATTTAATAATTATATGATCTCTTTACTTTAAGTCAAACAAAATTAAGACATGATGACTAACATGCTTCGTCTTTTTGATTAAAAACTCTCGGCAAACGCACTCAGGCGTATTGCCTAGATCAATGGGGCCCCATAGATTCCATGCCTTTTATATCACAGTTCTGTCTTTATGTACGGTTTGTTTGACATTCCATATTACTTAGTTCTACATTGGTCATCTGATAGACAACGATTACCGTCGCCTTTATGCATAAGAATCTTTATTGATCTCACAAAATACTTTATGGTATTCCCGAGGTATCTCTTTGCCATTCCTTGGGGACTAATGTTAGACTGTATACCATAGGTAATGTAAGATTGTGTGAGAGATGATATGCATAAAAGGAGAGTAAGCTCAGATATGACGGCCGACAGGGATCCCTAGAAGATGTACCGCCAACAACTTATTTCTGCACAACTCATGGTTGACTGGTAAATGCCATTAGGTGTTAAGTCCGCTATATGTACTTTTTACCTGTGTATGACGTGCATTAAAGTTATTTAAATAAAAAAAATCTCTAGAACTACTGAACCGATTTTGAAAATTCTTTTACCAATAGAATACCACGTTATTTATGACTGACATATGGTATATAGCATTACGTTGCGACCAATAGCAATGAAAAATGTTGGAAAAACGAGAAAAAGCTGACGCAAATGAAATTGCGCGAGTCAGTTAGTATTACTTAAATGTATATTATTTTTACCAAAAACTTATATTTTGAAAAGACTAAGCATGAAAGAATTGATACTCCTATTTTGTCTCTGACTAATTGTGTATACAAAATCAATTGAAACAATATATTTAAATCAGCATCTCTTCAAACACTTACCTATTTATGTATAAAAAGGTTAAATATCTAGCAGACTTATTTTAGCTTAAAATCTTATACTATTCTTCTTAAAAAATCATGATGTATATATTATGCTATTTCCTCTGTCTACACCGTAAGGGACCATGCTTGAAGATAGTTTTATCAATCTTCTAATTATAGGATAAATATAATTTCTACTTGAATTATACTGGCATCTCATAATGACACCTGAAAAGTTTTAATATAACTATTTTACTATTTATTACATACAGTCTTATATAGTGTCAAATGTAAATAGGGAAGAACATCATTAATAAAAAGGTTTAACATCACTGATAGTTCAATAAACATCTCAAATTAAGATTTCCATATACATCCATACACAAAATATTATATTACACTATCAAACACCTATCCAATGTGTCTAAGATAGTGTAATATTACCTTTATGAATATATTACATTATTTGGTGTATAGGATTATAACAAATACAGGAGTAAATCAGACTCCAAAAGTTGTCTAAGATCATTTCAAACCATTCTGTACTTCAATATGTAAGATCCATTATATATAGTACTGTGTATACTTTATAAAAACAATATTACATTAAGAATTATATATAAGATATATTTAATAACATTATACATGTACCTACATACCTTGGAATTAAGATATCAATAATTAAGAGACAGAAAGTTATTTCATAATCAGATGTTTTGATATAACTTAATAATATTATAATGAAATAACAAATATCTTCAGTATTCGCTGAGTTTTACTTATAACCATCATATCATTAATTCACTGCTGAAGATATTTCTCTCACTAAATATAATTACTGATATTTAATTTAAGTACTTAATTACAAATAAAAAAACTAATAAGTCTCTAACTAGAACTAGTCAATTAAATAATATATTTTGAAACACACTATACATATACTACTGTCTCACAGTTACATGCAATAAAATAAAAGATATCTCAGAAGTCAGAACAATGACAGAACAAATAAGTAATACAATTTTACTAGCATCAATAACTTTTTTTTTTAAGTAAAATTTAGAGGTAGTCACTTATTATAAATGTTTTGACTGTTTGGAGCTTGTGCCTTTGCTATGTATTTAGATATTAAGTGTAAAAAAATTTAAGAAATGTTAATCTAATTCATAACAGAGTTAGTGTTTCTTACATTTGTTATAGGCATTTAATTAAGTACCTTCTTATGTACAAGCCTTTATCTGTAATAATAAATATAAGAAGGACGATTTTAATACTTAAAGAACCTGAATAAATAATATTTATTATGGCTACTTCCTAAATTTATTATAGCATCTAAACTTTAAAAAATGAACGAAGTAATTTAATTATCTATGAATGCACAGACATAATAGAAATAAGACTACAAAGTAGAGAGAGGCTGGGTAAGATCGAATCACGATATTGGTTCAATGACCTATGAACGAAAAAGGCAGTACGTACATATTTCAAGACACAAATAAAGTTGTATAGCTTAAAAACGTAATGTATGGCAGATATAAATTAAATTATATCAGTTATTAAATAAATGCTTCTTAAAAAATAGTTTAGAAAAGTACGGATATTTATGATGCAGTTATTAGGAGTTTAATCTTATTTTTCGTGGGTATATATATTAAATATAGTTAAGTATATGTGTATACCGCAATAGTAATACTAAAGATATCACTTTTATTGTAGAATTATTACTTCCAGTATGTTTAAAGTTTAAATACAAACTTGTAACTTCAAAAGTTTATACGCGCACACTGAACATGCGCGAAACGAAGTAAACAAAGTACTTAGTTTGAAGAAAGTTTCAATTTTATATAACTTCTTACCTTTAGCGATGAACGCAGTTGTCCCGGGTTCAAAATCCACTTTTAAACGCACTATGCACTTGGAATCACAACATTCCTTAAAAACACTGACTTAAAACTAGTAGCTTCACTCACTATCGTTGCCGCACTTTATGAGTTAAATTTAATGAAATAACACAAACTAAATCTCTAACACACTATAATAGTAACTTATGCAACTTTTTAACTTAGTTTTCAGTAATTTATCACGGTTTGTCACGTAAAAACTTAAAATATCATAGTAAACATTAGGAGCACCGTTCGGCACGCGACGGCCATCTTCCGCCAACGCGATATTTAAGGTTATATCCGCAAGAGGGCGCCTTTAAACCAACATACATTGCAGAATGTATTTCTTACAAATTTTTCAATAAAACTATTTTATTACTAATTCATAATTATATAACATTGCATAGATTATAACAATTTTGCCATTTCTAAATTTTTAATTAATATTTTTAGATAACCGCTATTTATACTTAAATCATGTATTTTCGTAAGTGGCAACTTCGTAAAGTGCAATGTTACTAGAACATACATTTTATTTTAATATAGTAGAAAAGGTTTTATTTCAAAAAGTATATTGGAAATGATTACACAGGTGTATAATTTGTGTATCATAATTTAAATTAAAAAAAAAAAAGGATTTTATAGAATGACTCGTTGAAACTTCGTTTATGTATTTTTATTTATATAAATCTCAACTGTAAAATCATTGTAGTCCTTCAAGATTTTAAAGAATAGTAGTTTATAGTTTGTATAAAATAACAACAAGATTGATTAAATGTCAGTATTTCAATTATTGTGTTTATTTATCCTTTTTGTTTATTTATACGTATGAATTTCAGTTTAAATACGTTTTTATCAATTGACAGAGAACTAGATACTTTGTCAAATGGTTGCAAAAAAACATGTTCGGTTTAACAGTAAAAAGTATTTATTCATAATGGTTTTATAAATCCGGTAATACATACATTCTTAGGAGTAAGTTTTATTATAGTATATATTGAAAATAATAAGTGTGTGGCTAATTCAGTGATTGGATACAACTCTCAGGTCAATATTGAATAAAGTTTTTGTATTCTTTATTACTATACATATAATCTGATATTATGAATATAACATCTGTTTCATTTATACCAGTTAGCTTATTTTCAATTTGGAGAATAGTACAAAAACTAAAGACTGTAATTTTGATGGCATAAAAATGAAACACCAAAATTTATTTTGATATTCAAAACTGTTGCATGACATATACCACAAATACTGCATATTCAATATATTTCTTACTCAATTATACATACATTTATATATTTTATGTAATCAAAGTAGTTAATGCTAGTTATAAAGCATTACTTGATAACACCATATCCCAATTCAATCGAGCAAAGCTGCGGTATAACACCTGTATTGTAAGATGCTAAAATAAATTACAATCCATTTAAGATTAATTTAGTGACAAAATTTACTAAATTACTCTTAAATGGATTGTAATTTATTTTGGTATATATTTCATTTACACAAATTACATTTTTCCCCATATTTGTGTAGGCAAAACTGTGGGAAACATATTATTTTTGAAAGTATCACCTTATTACTATTTCATTAATATGAAATACAACCTTTCCTGACTATAAAACTTCTAAATTAATTTGTATATATTGCAATATTTCATTTTATTTTAATAATATGCACAAAATATTATGATATTTATATTTAGTATGTTTGTATTTAAATATATATTACATTATTTATTTCATTAATTCATAATTTAAGAGCTGTACTCTTGTCGGTAGAGCTCCCACACCATTTACAATCTTCTATCAATCTTTTTGCCTGTTCATATGACACATCTCCCAACTTTTCCTTATACTTACTAATTTATGTAGGTTTGTGACTATTTCTCGCCATAACTGGTCCACGCCCACACTGGTTTCTGTTTGTATCAAAAGGTTGGCTGGTGGATGGCATACAGCATTAAGCTCACCTTTTGTACAAATTTTATTGTGCACAAAAGAATAAATAATTTTTTTTATTTTAAATAATTTATTTGGAATATTTTTTCTTAAAAAAGAGTAATTGTAGACTTTTCAATCTAGATTTTATAATTGGATATTAGAAAAATGTTTTTATAGTAAGTATTAAGGAATTTTTTGACATGTAAAATAATTTTATATGTTGACACATTTTAATATGTAACAATTTAATTTAATTATTAGAAATATTTTAAAAATTAATTCAATTTAAATTAAAATAAAACTAATAATGTATATAAATTTTGCACACCTGTATGCAGGCTGAATATTTTGGACAAATATTCATATTGTGACACTGTATTTTGCAAACAAATAAAAAATAATAAAGTACAATGTTTGTTTGGATTTGAATTAATTGAGTGTGTTACTGATAGCTATGGGAACCATTTACCATCAGATGGTACGGGCCATCTGTAAAATGAATTGTGAGTAGCTTTGACGTGGTCTAGTGTTTTGAGTAGTCATGCTCACTAAAATGTCCAGTTCAGACCACTTGTGGCGGCGTGGTGGGCCGGGTCATTGGGCTCCCTAAAATATGGTCGAGCTCAGTGATGGCTGGCTCATCCGTCATACTCGTGAACGGGTGCTGCTTGTAGGGACTGGTCTGCTCTAATCACTATGACTGATTTCCTCTTATTAATTGTTTTTACTAAATTACCAGTTGGTTATGTATTCAATATTTTTTTGTATTTGAATATTTAATTGAATTAGTACTAATTGGTGGTTTGTATTCACACACTTAAACTTAAAAATAAACTAACAATAAAATTATTTAAAAGAGCAACACGCAAATTTCTTGCTTGTTCTTCTTGTGAACGAGGAATATTTTTTCTTAAAAAAGGTAGATTAAAAAATGTAATGACTATTCAAAAGTGCTTCAATGTAAGTTTATTTGAATAAATGATTTTCTATTCTATTCTATTCTATTCTGATGGTGCTTGATAGCCACCCACAGTATTTTTTTTGGAACTTGCCTATCTACAATCAGTCCAGGTATTATAATCAGATGAGTTGTTGATGAGTTGTGGAGGGTAATGTGGGAGGATCTCTATCCTTTACAGGGTCCTCATATTTCAACTAGCTGGAAATCTTTCATCCAGCTCCAGGATATTTGCTCGTTTCAGTCTTTTTGCTGGATTATTGACTAGAAGCTTCTGAACTAGATCGTTTGGGTGGATAGCAAGGCGTACCTTATATTTGGTGCTGGTTTTTCCAATTTCTTCCCTGATTGAGTTAGTGATGAACCATAGAGCTTTTAAGATGCAGTTTAGGATGTAGTTTTGATATTGTATAAATATAAAATGTGAGCATTAATCTTAAAATAAATATAGTATGAAAAAAAATATTTTCCGCAATATAACTTCCTAAATTCCTTTTCAGTCCAGAAATTGAATTCAACCTAGAGATTTAAGTTGGAAATCTAAGTTTAAATAACTTGTGGGAATATATATCTCTAAAATATTTCATGTAGTATATGTATGTATAGATTTTAGTTACTTGCAGATAGGGACATGTATTAAAACAAATTATTATGTATAGTAATTCACTTATATTCATAGAGAACGTCGTGGGGTGAGTTTACTATCCTGAGTTACGCTCTAGAATTTGCAAGTACAAAACTGGCCGATGCGCAAATAAATGGGTGTGTATTTCGATATACATTTCTAACTCTCCAGTGAAGGAAACACCGATATCAGTCCAAAAATTAATCCAAGATACAGCTGTAGGCTCGCCTCTTGCCACGTTATATTCAAATATACTCACCAAAAAGTGGGAAAGTCAATGAAAATGAAAAATAAAATTCTTTATTGTTTTCCTCACTGCATACAAACAATTAATTATATATAATTATTTATATACACTATTATTATATTAAACATTGACAAAGTATAAAGTGAACAATAGGCGGCCTTATCGCTGAAAACCGATTTCTTCCAGGCGACCTTAAGATGGAGGAGATCAAATGTATCCTTCAATGTTATACAGGATAAGTCAAACGGTATGAAGGTGTGTAAGTATGTAGTTTATTACTAATATACTTTAATAAAACTAGTTGTTAACAGATGAGACTGTATATATATGTAGTTTACTTTGACGACCTCGGTGGTCTAGCGGTCTAGCATACCGCTTTACGATCGATGGTCGCGGGTTCGATTCCTCGCACGACACAAATATTTGTATTCATGCGTACGATTGTTTATATCAGGCTGGGTGTTTTCTATGTATATTATGTATGTATTTACAAAAATAAATCTATGTATATGTATCAGTTATCAGTTTATTTTAGTATGTTAGTACCCATAGCTTCAACTAGCTTGACTTGGGTATAGATGGCGCTGTGTGAATTGTCCTGAGATTATTATTATTGTATAGTTCAATAAAACAATTTTGAGATATCATTGATGCAACACAAACTTGAACCAGTTGTACTTGAACTAAGCACCTAAATGCTTACAACTTGTAGCAAACTTATAATAACCAATATCAAAACTTGGAGAGCTGATGCAATTGGAAAATAGCATTAAAACTGAAATGGACTTTGAAACCGCTTCAAGAAGTGTGAATCCCTCCGGCGAAGTTGTATGGACAACGAAAAATGTTACAACCATTTTATTGTTTTCTTTCAAATTAAAAGTAGTTTTGTTCGAAGGAATTTAGGTTTCATGAAACGAATTTTGATGTCTGTAAATTAACCGACTGCCAGGCCGGATTTAAGTGTTACATTCATTACGATTTTTTTCGGACTATAATGCTGTTGGCCACAGATGGCCTTTACAGTTGCACCGAAATATAGGTGACGACTGCAGAAAGCACTCCAAACCCGCGGAAGGGCTTATGGAACGTCTGAGACCAACTCCACATGACGGATGCGTTTTTAGTCTGAGTCTGAGGGCACCTCCATCGTATGGTATGTATCCATCGTATTTCGAAGTATTGCCATGTCAAGATCGAGATAGAGGTTGCAGCTGGCCTTTACACATTCATCGATCGGTAAGGGGGGGTGCAGATGTACTCCAATACCACAGAAAAACTTATGGAGCGGCTGAAAGCCAACTCCTGTCTGACGAATACGACTAGTCTGAGCATCGCTAGGGGTTTGACCTCAGCACAGTTTGAATTGAACGTGGTATCGATCGGAGGCGGTTCACCATGATATCAACAATTGCGTCTTTATAGGCATATGTAGTAACAGATACATCCCATGTAATCTATATCTATACATATAAATAAAGTTGGAGTAAC